GGGAGCAGCGGGCAGCAGGAGAGGTCTGCGCGCCATGTGGGACCCTCCTCCGGTGGCCTGGGAGCAGCCAGGGATCGAACCAGCGCTGCAGAGGCTGCGGGTAGCTTTGCAACCCAGCGCTCAACCGCTGCGTAAAGAGGCATGTATTATTTATTTATTTGTTTGTTTGTTTATTTGTTTATACATGCACTGGGTACAGTCAGAAGTGCGGGAGGGTGAGAGAATTCACCAGAGCCAGAGCGGGGAGCAGAGCAGGCAGAAGGACCGAAGTACTCTGCTGAGGGGAGCAGCGGGCGGCAGGAGAGGTCTGTGCGCCATGTGGGACCCTCCTCCAGTGGCCGGGGACCAGCTAGGGATCGAACCAGTGCCGCACAGGCCGCGGGCAGCTTCGCAACCCAGCGCTCAACCGCTGCGCCACCGGGGAGGCCCTCTACCTACCCTATTCTAACACAATCATGTAATTTTTCTTTGAAAAAATTTTGTGAAATGTGCCATACTTATTAAAGAGAATATTGTTGAGAATAACAAAATTAACATTCATGAACATACCACTTTATATAATTAAAAAATTACCAGTACTTGAGAGCTTCTGTGCTTCTCCCCACTCTCCCTAAACCCATCCCTTCAAGCTGTTATCCTGCATATTATGTGAATTTACTATTGCTCTTTAATGTAACTATCTATCCCTAAATAATTCATTTTCCCATTTTTAAACTTTATAGATAAAATGCTATACCCACTTTTCTGACTTTTTTTACTCAATATGCTCCTGAAATTAATCTGAAATTGCATGTAGATAAAATGCATTTTCATCAATGTATTTTATTAAATTCTATGAATATGCTATAATTTACTTATTCAGTCTACTGCTGATAGTCATTTGGTACATTTCCAATTTGGGAATGTTGTAAGTAAAGCTGTAATGTGCATTCTTGCACCTGTACACAGTACATTTCTGTGCATATCTTCTCAAGATTCAAGAGCTCTCACTGTGTACTTCCTCATGAGCATCTTAGCTATTAATATTACTGTCTCCTTACTCTATCAGACTTTAACTCACTCCCCCATGAATATGTTTTTCCTCTTGAATTGTTACACCATTTTTTTTTTTTAAATCTGTCATTGCACTGGCTAGGACCTCCAGTATACTTTGAAAGAACTTCCTTGTATTTTGACATAGAAGAAAATGCTCTAAGATGTCTGCTGTAACGTTTGTCAAAGTCCTCTATTTACCTTAAGAAACTCTTAATTTTAATTATCAATCTTCCTCATTATAATTATCTTAAGCATGGTTGCACGTTTAAACAATCTTTTCCAACTGCAGACAGAGTATCTCAGCAAAATCTTTATAGCTTAGGTCTAGTCCTTGGGAATTAGGTTTTCTAGTAACAAAATTTCTCTTTTTTTATGAAAACACCCATTTTTGGGGCCTCCCTGGTGGCACAAGGGGTTAAGTCTCAGCACTATCAACCTATCACCAGCCACTGCGACATGAGTTCAATCTCCAGCCAAGGAGCTAACCCACATGGCACAGCAGACCACTTCTGTCTCTCCTGCTGCTCTCCTCAGCAATGTATTTCAGTAGATCTGCCTGTTCTGCTCCCAGTTCTGTTTCTGGTGAATTCTCTCACCCCCCCTACACCTCTGGCCTACACCTCAGTTCTTCTATGCGTAAATTAAAAAAAAAAAAAAAACTTTAAAAAAAAACACCCATTTTTCTCAGCACTATTTACTGAATCAATAAAGTGCCACTTTGTTTCGATTATAAACAATTCATTCACTTGTGGTCAGTTTACCAAGATTTCCTACCTCAGTGTCTTGATTATTACAGCTTTATACTACAACTTATTTCTAATCAATCAAGTCCTCTCACATCTTCAACTGATTGGTTGTTATTAATGTCTATATTTCCATATACACTTGGAAACAATTACATTGTGTATACACACACACACACACACAACTTCCATTCTGCAAAGTAGATTCTATATTTAAAACTTCTATCCTACACATAACCCAATATAGATAATGCTCAAAAACATTGAAAAAAGGAAGGAATAAGTCAACAAGTAAGCAGGGAAATATAACAGAGAAAAGGATGATATAGGTATTTAAGTCAGCCAAAGAAAATTTGTCTAGAATTGTTTGAAATGTGAGACATAGCATATACATGAACTTTAAGCATTCAAGAACTTACTAAGTTCTTAATGTAACTGCTTTTAAAATATAGCAATAAGGGGTTATTTACTATTCAAAAGTGGTACATACATGGCATAGAAAAATATGTACTCATACCATTAAAGCAGATAATCAAAAATGGTTAATGACCAATATTTCCAGTACTCCTTGAACAGATAGGAAATAAAGATGCATTTACTCACATGAAATTGATTATTTTGTATTATGAAAAAAGCCACTGTGAAAAAATAACATCAGGATTTGAAAAAATATTACAACAACAGATAAATGCATTTCAATTTTACATTTAATTATGTGACCACGATAAAAAATTGACCATACACATACATCTACGTATTTTACAGATTAGTAAAACTGATGCCAACTTTAGAATTATTTCAGAAAGAATATAAGCAATCTTTACCACAATTTCCCCAGTCTTATCCTTCAAAATAAAAATAAAACTCTATACATTATCAAACCAAATCAAGATTTGCAAGTGGCTAAAATCACCATAAATATATTGTCTCTGAAACAGCTGCAAGTATACACCAATATCATGTTTGCGCAAAATCTTTACATTTTTTATCATTTTGTCATTATCTCTACTTGCAAAAGTACTTTGAAACAATCTCCTTTAACTGTTATTCTTATTAATAAGGACACATCTTGTTAAATACATATGCCAGATCTTGAGATCTGAGAATACAGCTGCAAAAGAAAAGCTAAGTAACTAACTACTTTAAACAGCATACCTGAAACAAGACCACACTATTTAATCAAAAATTTACAAAGATTTTTACCAAATTGAGTATTATAATTTCACTTAATTTCTGCACAAACTAAGATAAACAAAAATGTTGCTCAAAAAATTCATTGTGGGCTACACAAATAGATTCACAGCAGTATTTGGCAACCACCAATAAAATTTATTTACCACATTGCAAGGCTACTAGTACATGAATAAATTAAATTACTGGTCTCTGAATGAGGGATTTGAGCAAGAGATAAATTACATCAAAATCAATAAATTTTTTACATGAATTAACTTGAAGAATGTAAGAGGTTAACCTTACTCTTTCCAAGAACAAAATCAAATGGCATTGTATAGTGTTATCTGTCTTCTTTACAGCGTCCACCAAGTGCGAATGACAAGTACCATTTACGTCAGTTCTTATGTGAATATGAAGTGTTTATAAATTTCTATAAATTAAATTATTTTTTAAGCTTCATATCAAATGAGTTGTAGATCTACTTAAAGTATGACTTCTTCTTTCAAAGAATGAAGGAAGGCTGACAAGCGAGGGAGATGGGATACCCTGTTAAAGACAAGACAAATATTTTATACTTATTTTTCCTTTTAAAAAATTATAGCTAAAAAAATCTGAAAATTCTAAATTCCTTAAATAAATAAAAAGATTTGCAATTAGGTTGGGGGCTAGAAAGAAAATACAATTAAAACAATTTTACCATTTTGAAAACAGAAAGTAAATGGATAGACTACACATTAATTGAATTGGGAGAAATATTGGCTTACTGCTCATAGTGATACCTAATTTTTGTGAAAGATTAATAACTCAGGGACCTCCCTGGTGGTGCAAGGGGTTAGGACACAACCTATGGGAGCTGTCCGCAGCCCCTGCAGCACGAGTTTGAGCCCCAGCTGGCAAGGGAGCTACCCACATGGCACAGCAGACCTCTCCTGACTTGCCTGCTGCTCCCCTCAGAAGTGTACTTTGATCCATCTGCCTGTTCTGTTCCCCACTCTGTCTCTAGTGAATCCTCTCACCCCCGTACCTCTGGCCTGTACACCAATTCTTGTATGCATAAATAAATAAATCTTTAAAAAAAAAAATCAATAACTCAGTGTTTCAGGTTATTTATAAAATTATGTATTAGTATACATGTTTTTTGAGGTATACCTAAATCCTAGTTGGTTTCTTACCCTTATCATAAAGCAGAATTAAGAGTAAAATTACTTCATGGAAAATAATTTTCTAAACGTAAGTCATATATTCACCTAAAGAGATTTTGTATTATATGTGCAAACTATATATATGTGTATAATTTTGTACCATATAAAAACTGAGCAAAACAGCAGCACTTCTATTAATAACAATTACTAAATTGCTAAGGTGCTGAACGTATTGTTCAAGGGTCAAAGTAAAATATCATCCAAATTTTTAACAACAACAAAGAAACGTGCACAAGAATACCAAAAACCCACAAGTGGATGCACATCAAAATGAATTATAAAGAATGTTATGATTTTAACATAACTATAATTTAACATAGAGCCGAGAAGGTAGTTAACTATAAGTTCTCATCAACAAGAGAGTAAAATGAAGTGTTTAAAGAGCTGGGCAAGTAACATATTACCATTCAAGTGATAACAAAGCAATGATTTAAGCAGATATTATAAAAGTTCACATTTTCCTCAGGTGAAACTTTTATGATTTGCCATATTAAAAGCATAAATTTTATATAAATGCTATAAATCTAAAATTAAGAATCTGCTGTGGGATATAAATCCACTTTATATGACAATTACCACTATTTCTAAAAAAAATCATTTTCCTACGTAAGAAAATGATCACTTGGACTGAATTTTTCTGGACTTAAGAGCAAATTACCCTGCAAAAGTATTTTTATGTGCCAATCTTCAAGGAAACTATTAGGCTTAAGTTGCAAATTCAAAGCAGTTATAAAATTGTGACTGCTGCCATACCCCCCCCCTTAATCTAATAAGTGATTCTGTGGTGAAAGGGTACTTTCTATTTCCAAAAATATAAATTTCAAACAGCCAATAAGCTCACATTAAACGTCATGAAGCTTGTTTCCATTACTGGTTGGAACATCTCCTATTTCTTCACAAATATCAAAGATGACTTGGACAGAACTTTTTTTGAAATTTGAAAAATCAGTATTTCCTTCTAGTATCTCTGAATAATTAGCAAATGAAGCAGAATGATGTATAGATCGAAACCAGGAGTTTCGGGAGCGCCCACCAGTACAGTCTGAGCACTGGACATGAACATGCTTAGTAAGTCCAATTATACTGCTTGTGGAAACATAACGGGTAATCTGTTAGAACAGAAATAAGCAACTGAGAGAAGAGGACATGAATGTCTTAAAGATTTTTAGGTACTTATTTATGTATAGTGTCTACATAAAAGTAACAAAATCATAAATAATATATTTTCTAAAAACTCCAAAATGGCTTCATTTGAAAAGCAATGTTATAATAATTACTACAGATGCAGGAAATAAACAAGAGATACCAGCCTTCAAAAAGCTTATAATTTTATTTTAATCAATGGATGCTTATTATATTTAGTTAATTTTTATACATCAGATTTCTTTGTATATCTTTACATTACAACTAACTACAACTCTTCCATTTGGTTAAGATTAATCTCAATCAATTATTTGTATAAACATACTCATAGATTTAACCCCAACCCTTTGTTGTATTAAATAATTAACTTTAAAAAGTTATTGAGTATTAGATGCCTTGCCTCTGTGTCATATAATAAAAAGCAACCACTTATAAAACACTGAAGCACTCACTATGTGCAAGGAACTGTTGTAAGCATTTTAATACATTAACTTACTTAATATTTACAATTACCACTTTAGATTCATGTTATAGATGGCAAAATTAAAAGAGATCTTTAACACTTGCCAGAAGTTATAGAGCAAAGGCAGGAGGTGAACACTGAGTACAAATGTTATATACTCAAATTGCTTTTGAGCATATAATCACATTACATCATATGTGTATGTTTATTTATTTTTCTAACTTAAAAAAAAAAAAAAGTTATTTATTTATTTATTTATACAAGCACTGGGTACAGTCAGAAGTGTGGGAAGGTGAGAGAATTCACAGAGCCAGAGCAGGGAACAGAACAGGCAGACTGACGAAATACACTGCTGAGGGGAGTAGCAGGTGGCAGGAGAGGTCTGTTGCACCATGCGGGACCCTCGCAGGCAGCCGGGGATTGAACTGGTGCTGCAGAGGCTGCGGGCAGCTTCGCAGCCCAGCGCTCAACCGCTGCACCACCAGGGGAGGCCCGTGTATGTTTATTTAAACATCATTGTATTTAGTCCTTACAATAACATAGGGTGAATACTATTAAACTCATTTCTCTCATCTACAAAAATGGAGAGAAGAAAATATAAGCTTGTTGAGAGACACACAACCAAGAAGCAAGCTCACTTTCCTTAACTTTACATTAGGTTAATGATTTTACAAAAAAATGATACATCACTCACATAGTTAGTGACAGTAATAAATACTATAAATGTCCTTAATATTACCTTATAATTCTGACACTGTGGGGAATCTGCATTCTTTAAGAAACATACAAACAAATTAAGAACCTACATCAGGCCTCCCTGGTGGAGCAGGCGTTAAAGTCTCAGCACTATCAAGCTGTCCTCAGCCTCTGAGGTAAGAGTTTGCTCCTTGGCCAGGGAGCTATCCACGTGGCTCAGCAGACCTTTCCTGTCTCGCCCGCAGCTCCCCTCAGCAGTGTATTTCAGTAGATCTGCCTGTTCTGCTCACCACTCTGTCTCTGGTGAATCCTCTCACCCCCCACACCTGTGGCCTACATCCCAGTTCTTATATGCATAAATAAATAAAAAATAAATTTTAATAAAGAATCCACATCATCCACTCAAATTCACAGGTTCAGAGATTATATTGTACACATTATAAAACAGTAAAAAGTAAGAAAACTTAGTCTCTGTTATATTATTGGAATCAATCTGTATAAACAGAACTACTACTATTTACATTAATAAAGGATAAGCCAGACTGAAACATGTTTCTTAGAGAATTTAGAACATATCTCAATCCCAATATAATTTCCAATAACCACACACTGAATTATTGCTAATCAATAAAATTAGATTTTCTCAGTTGCTTTTGTCCAATGAAGAGGTTAGAAGTTTAGACACACCCAAAAAATAAAGATAACGAGATTACCATCTTTAAAAAGTCAAAAAAAATTCCACCAACTCCATAAATGTGAATAAGTCATTTATCCCATGAAATCAAAGTCACTTACTGCTAATGATGATGTGCTAGACAAACGACTCATTACATGCTTGTCATTGCTGAGAGGACTTCTTCCCTCCACTGAGCTTTGGGATGTCATAAGAGCCCTCCGTAGAGCTCTTTTTGGTGTTTTGGAGAAAGAGAATGCTCTTGTAACCTAGAGTTAAAAAAGACTTAAAGTTAAACCAAGACAAATCTAATTTAACAGATTAAAAAAAGATTATATATAAAGGTAAATACACATTGAAAGCGTTTATACAAATAGTATATAGCAGAATTTGAATCTCTTTAAACAAAGCGGTGAGAAAGCAGTATACTGTAGACTATTCCATCGTGTTTCAGAGAGTCCCACAGTTCAATGGCAGAGAAAGTGGGAGAAAACCCAGGTTCTTGTCTGATAATACTAACAATTCAGTTGGGTTATCTTTAACCAAAGTAACAGGTTCATTTGTATCATCATTTAACATGTTTCTCTATGATACTTCACACATGTTAAATGCCAGGGGATATAAAGACAATTTTCCCTCAAGGCAAAACAAAACAAACCTTGTAAATCTAACAATAGACTATGACTACATATTTACCCTGGAATGTAAAAGTTCTACTTCTATTTGTTAAAAAAAAAAAAAAAAGCCTATTACCATCATTCTAATGTAGTCTTCAACAAGTCTGACAAGGTAAGTAGGGAAGTTATCTTCATTATTAAGAGATTGAAACATGGGTGAGGAATAGATCCCAGGTCTCCTGCCTTTTGCTGAAAAATACCTGAGCAATATTTAAAATGATACACACACATTTGTATCTAACAACCATCATGGCATTTCTAGAGAAATAGAGTTCACAGAATTATCACTGTTATGAGAATGGGAGGGATAACAAGGTGTTATGATTTCTGTGCCAAAAAATTCACTGAATAAGAGCTATTAAATCTGTAGGCTATTTTCTAGAATCAAATAAAAGTTTTATTTCACATTATCCTTATAATGATATCTATGGCAATATTTCTTTTAACATACTGTGAGAAATACAACTTGAAGATAATGTTAAATAATTTCACTAAAACTTACTTTTTTGGAAGTCTTTTTTATTGCTCTAGATGCTCTACTCAATGTACTGTCCATGTCTTTCGTATTTACTTCAAAGGATTCTGGGTCAGCAGAGTAAATAAGATTCTCCTATTGAAAAACAACACATTTCAATTATTTTTAAATAAATAAAAGCACACAACTGTTTCTAAAATCAAATCCTTAAGCATTTATACAAATATGGTATTTATAAATGAAGCTACTCACAATTTTTGATGTGGTTGATATAATTTCTACTTTGAAATCTAATTTAAGGATAGTGTAAAATAAGCACTCAAGTGAAAAATTCATCACAAGTACCATGGACATTAAAGCAATCAGAAAAAAACCTCAGTATAAAATCGTACGAACACCCTACAATTACCAATGCTTGCTTTGAGTTTTCATGACTGACTTGGATAGTCTTGGTTTTTCTAAAGTTTCTCTTATTTCATTATAACCACAAAATCCACCTACCTGTTACAGACCTTCTCCACTTGATCAACTTGCTAAATGACTCATAGTTGGTTATCTAATCCCAAAAAGATAACAGTACTTATCCTCATCAGTATCTTTTAAAAACAATGCTACTACTTTTTTCTAATTTAAAATCACACTCATTATGAAAGTTTGGAAGAAAAATTTAAATCACAGACAACTCTACCAACCATTTACCATTTACATTGGTATATTTCTTGATATTTTCCAACATGCATAAAGTTTTATTAGAACAATAATTGTAGTCATACTATTCAATTTTTTATCTTAAGGTTTTCAATTAGCATATACTATGGGTAATCTCATTAAGTACTGAAAGAAATTACTCTTAATGAACAGCAAATAAGTCTCTTCTGTTTATACTACAATTAATTTGAACATGACATTATTTTTGAGCATTTACAGTACTTTCACTTTACTGTTATTAATAAACTATTTCAATAGTGTCAAAATAAACTACTACCCAGGAATAAATTTAATCAAGGAGATGACTTGTAACTACAAAATGCTTTACTGGAAGAAATTGAAAATACAAATAAATGGAAAAAGCCATGTTAATGAACTAGAAGATTTTATACTGTTAAGATGTAAATACTATACAGGGCCTCCCTGGTGGTGCAAGGGGTTAAGATGCAACCTATAAAGCTATTTGTAGCCTCTACAGCATGAGTTCGATCCCCAGCCAGCCAGGGAGCAACCCACATGATGCAGCAGACCTCTCCTGACTCGCCCGCTGCTTCCCTCAGCAGTGTACTTTGGTCAATCTGCCTGTTCGGTTCCCCACTCTGTCTTTGGTGAATGCTCTCAACCCACATACCTCTGGCTGTACCCCAGCTCTTGTTTGCATAAATAAATAAATCTTAAAAAAAAAATGTAAATACTATACAGAGCAATCCACATAATCAATTAAATCCCAACCAAAGTCTCAATGATTTTTTTTTGCATAAAAATTCATTCTAAAATTCATATAGAATCTCAAGAGACAGCAAATAGCCAAAGAGAAAAAGAAAGTTCAAAGTCCCATACTTCCTGGTTTCAAAACTTACTACAAAGAAAAAGTTCAGCAATCAAAACAGTGTGGTACAAGCATAAAGGGATAGAATGGAATGGAATAGAATGGGGAGCCTAGAAATAAATCTTTACATAAGGTCAAATGCTTTGACATGGGTAGCAAACCTTCTCTACAGAGAAAGGACAGTTTTTCAATAAATGGTACTGGAAAATAAGATGTTCACAAGTAAAATGATGAATTTGACCCTTATGTTATACCATACACAAAAATTAATGCAATAAAATGGATCAAAGAACTGAGTGAGTCAAAACGATAACACTCTTAAAAAAAATAGGGTAAAAGCTTCACATTAGATTTAGTAGTAATTGCTTGGATATGATGCCAAAGGCAGAGCAACAAATAGACAAGTTGGACTTCATGAAAATTTAAAATTTCTATGCAAAAGACACTACTAGAGCAAAAAGAGAAAATACTTGAAAAAAATATCTGATAAAGCATTAATTTCCAAACTATATAGAAAAAAATCCTAAAAAGTAACAACAAACAACCAGATTTAACATTTCCCACAATATTTACTTAAGGATTTTTGAAATGGATTTAATTTTTCATTTTTCACTCTCTTGACTATATAACTTAGGTGGATATAAGGCTAGAATATAGCATATATGCCTAACTTTCTCTAAGTACTTAACCATTTTAGCATCATATGTTAAGAACTTACTAAATCATTAAGATTCTATATTTACCTTTCAAAAATCTTATTTTAAGGACATCTATCCTTAGATGATCCACCTATAAATTTCTAAATCAGTGTAGTAATGTTCTGATCATTATAACTATAAAAATACAATTTAATATATTGTATGAATTATGAGAGAAGTTTGCTATTTAACTTTTATTGTTGTTCTTTCTTTAAAAAACATCTTTGTAAACATTCTGTGAAATTTCATAAATTCCTTATACAATTTTATAAGAAACTGCAAATGAATTGGCCGTCTTTATGCTAACCAGCATTCTCATTCAGAATATCATGAGTATCTCTATAAGGTACTATAATTTTTTTTAAAAAAGATTTATTAATTTATTTATACAAGCACTGGGTACAGTCAGAAGTGCAGGAGGGTGAGAGAATTAACCAGAGTCAGAGCGGGGAGCAGCGGGCACGGCAGGATAGGTCTGCATGCCATGTGGGACCCTTGCCGGCAGCTGGGGATTGAACCAGTGCTGCAGAGGCTGCAGGCAGCTTTGCAGCCCAGCACTCAACCGCTGCACCACCGGGGAGGCCCGGTACTATAACTTTCTTAAAATGTTTCATGTTTCTTATTTGGCTGTCCCTAGATTTATACTAAAATTCCCTAAATGGATACCAAATTTTTTGGAAAAGAGGTCTTCATTTTCTATACATTTTAGCTGGTACTGCAAGAGTAGAGAAAAATCAATAATAATAAATGTGTAAATTTCTATTTTATTTGGCTACTTAACAAAACTCTGTTATGAATTCTAATAGTTATCAATGGTTCTTGTCAATTACTTAATCATTTGTAAAATAGCTCTGACCAGTTAACACCTGAAGATCCATGTGAAACAAAGCAGTCTGGTCTATGAAGAAGGTCTGCCTATCCTGAGTTTCCCTGCATCCCCATTCACTAACATTTGCAAGATATACATTATGGAGAATTCTTACATTTCATAGTAGAAGGATGACATTTCTCAAACTGCTGTACATATGGCAACATAAACTAAGCAGAGGTGCAACTTCAGTTTTATGAACTTAATTTCATTCCATTTTCAATTTTAATTTCACTGCAATTTTTATTTCATTCTATCAACAAATATACATATTGAAAACCTAGTATTTGATAGGAACTTTACATTCCTAGATATAGAGGTAAGTTTTTAAAAAAGTTATATTGACATTTAAATATATTTTCCTTCACTATGTTTTGTTTTTAAATTACCAAGTCATTTATCAATGTTCATTCTGAATTGGTCTGTTTAAGGCATTTTTTAAATACTAAAAAATCCAATGAAATTTGATGGAAAACAATTAGAAGCAACATGACAATTAAAAGTAACTGGCTACAGGGCCTCCTAGTGGCGCAAGCGGTTAAGTCTCAGCACTATCAAGCTATCGCCATCCACTGAAGCATGAGTTCAATCCCCAGCCAAGGAGCTAACCCACATGGCACGGCAGAACTCTGTCTTGGCTGCACTCGCCTCAGCAGTGTACTTCAGTAGATCTGCCTGTTTTTCGCCACACTCTGTTTCTGGTGAATTCTCGCACCCCCCACACCTGTGGCCTATACCCCAGTTCTTGCATGCATGCATAAATAAATAAAAATAAATCTTAAAGAAAAAGAGTAACTGGCTACAAAATTAACACACACCTATCAAAGATTTACCTATATATGAAATTACTTAGAAAACTTAGTAAAAATACTTCATTTCTAGTAGCATTATATGTGTGTGTGTGTGTATACACACATACATACACATACAAGTAAATCTAGTAAGAAAGCTCACATGTCTGTACTTATTTCTGGAAAAATTGTTATGAAGTAAAAAAAAATTTTAAAAATTACTATGACGTATTAACATAGCATAACTAAAGACTAGTGGGGACAGGGTATATAATTTGTTTTTCTAAGTACAAATATTATTATTCAATTTAGAATAAAAATCATAGCACAAATATAAAACTAAGTATCAATAATCTTATTCCTGGGGGAAAAAATTTAGATGTAAAATGTATAAATGTATATACACACATTTTTATTTATACATATATCAGTGCAATAAGTGTTCTGATCATTGTAACTATAAAAACACGTAGTTTTATATATAAATGTGTATGTGTTTATATATATGTGTATAGTATATGAATGAATTAACACCACAAAATACTAAGGAAGAGGTAGAAAGAGTATGGTTAAATGTTGGAGAGCAGACACCAGCTCTTTATAAAGAACCTAAGAAAACAGAAATTCAAGTAAAACCTGTATGGCAACCACTACCCAAAATCCAAAATAGATGCCTGCAGATGAAGCAGCAAAGAAATTAACAAAAACTAAGGAAGCCATCCAGAAAGAGTAGAAGCAAAGTGAAAACAAAACAACAGAAAAATAAAACAATCAAAAATAAAATTACTGAAAATAAACAGCTTATATCAATAATCACTCAAAATGTGAATGGTCTGAATTCATCAGTAAAAAGACACAGGATAACAATGTGGGTGAAAAAATTCCAGCCATCAAAACTTTGTTTACATGATACACACTTAAAATTGAAAGATAAAAACAAATTAAAAATAACAGGCTGGAATAAGGTCATACCTGCTAATAACTCAGAGAGTAAATCAGGAATTGCTATTCTTATATCCAATAAGCTAGACTTTCAACTAATAAGGGTAATCAAAGACAAAGATGGACTCTATATAATGATCAAGGAACATCTCACCAAGATATAATTCATATTACTATTTACGCTCCAAATATAGGAGCACAGTTACGTGAAGCAACTATAAATAGACATAAAACAATATATAAACAAAAATATAATTGTCAGAGATTTCAACACATCAATGACACAAATGGATAGATCA